CTGTTATATTCTTCATGTCTCCTCTCTTCTCGCATTCTCTCTAAGTAGCGATACATGCTGCACTTGGTAGCCTCACCTCAACATGGCACTATTACATGGGCCTTGCCCACATAGATCCTGCGACATGGGTATATATCGGGTCGTCTGGTCCTTGTGCTCCGCCAAGCCCCATCTGGTCGGAGTCTCTCCTCGTGCACGCCAGCTTGAGTACTCGCGTCCGGAGTTCCTACCGGCAGATAGGTAGTGACACAAATGCATGGCCTGCTGAACACATGAATGGCACAAGAACAAATATACATTATATGGTTACCATGTTATTATTATATTATATATACATGGACAGGTGAAGCGCGCACACCTACTTAGTCTTTTTTTTGTATAAGCATCTGCTATGTTTCGTAGTCAATTAGGGACTTCCCAAAATTATTTTTTCCATCATTAGGAATTTGGCAGGCAAACTTTGCCTAACCTACACACAATAGAAGCTTATTAGTGTCCAGAAATAGGGGGCATGGAAAGGGCCACAAGCATGCAGCCACACCCAAACTACTATTAGGATTTACTTAGATCATATTATTATTTAAAATAAATCATATTTTCCCGTAGAAATCATGTGTTGGTACGCGTGAAAATTTTGGCCTTAATTTGAGTTAGGTCAAAAGTGTTAATATTTGCTTAGTTCTTACTTCTTACAGGTCACTGTTTCAACATGCTGCGTTTAGGGTGATCCGATCCCACTACGGCAATAGATTGTGTAGTCAACTTTGGCTCTAGAATGAGGAGCAGGCTAAGGAAGCATAGGGTTTGAATCTTCGGGCTTGTGCTCCTATGTATATTTGTCATCTTATTGCACATATTTTAACAGTTGAGAAATACATGCTAAGAGAATGCTCTAGAGTAAGTTGTGTCGTTCCTATGTTTCTTTACTAAGAACGAGATCTAACTCTATACGATGTTCTGTGTTGATCTCACAATGTTTCATCTCTGACCACACAATACCCCCAAAAATGAATATAAAACTATTGCATTCGTCTATTTAGGGTATGTTTGATGAGTCAGGGCTAATTATAAGTTGAGCTAAAAATTAGCTCAAATTAACTAAGGTTGGCTAGTTAGGACCTGTTTGGTAAGAGCTAATTACTAGCTAGCTAATAGATAGACTAATTTTTAGCCAAGTCTCTAATTAATTGTTAGCCAACTAGCTAGTCAAACTCAGCTAATTTAAGTTAATTCTTAGTACAACTAGTAACTAGACCTAACTCATTCAAACAGACCCTTAGTTGGCTAACAACTAGTGAAAGCTTGACTAAACAATTAGCCCACCTATTAGCTCTCCTGTTTGAATGTACTATGACTAATTTTAGCTAATTTTAATTCGGCTAGCAATTAGCTCTTATATCAAAGAGGCCCTTAATTTTGTTACTATGCATTTGTCAACCAAAAATGACGCCTAATAAGCTTTTGTACTGAGTAGTAGTAGAGAAGAGATAGAGGGTTAGAAGCAAAGATAGAGAAGAGGTAGGGATAGAGAAGAGAGAAAGAGAGAGAAGCTAGACAGATCGAGAAAAGATGGAAACACAACAATTGCATCGTTCTGTATTGGCATTTCTTGAGTGTATGCACGTACAGTTTAATTTGGTTTGCAAGTGCCCCTTGTGCTCCATAAGGGCAAGCTGCATTTGTTTAATTTCTCATCTATCCCCACTCGAGCAGGCCGATATTTGTCATAAGATCTAATTTCGAAGTTTACATATTCCCTGGGGAGTAATTAGTATCGAAAAGAAATGATAAATGTGCGATTGATAAATTAGCTTCCCACATATGTCCAATGATTAAGGCCGTGTTTGGATGTTATCTGCTACTCCCTCCGTTCCAAATTGTATGTAAGCCACTTTGATTTTTTTTATATCTATTTTGTTATGTATTTAGATATAACATATGTCCAGATACATAGCAAAATGAACATAAAAAAAGTCAAAGCGACTTATAATTTGAAACGGAGGGAGCAATAATTATCTCTTTTGGATCCAATCAGACATAGATAATAGACTAGCTAATTGTTAGCTAGACCTTTAGAAAACAACTATTCAACTAGCTAGACCAAATCAGATAATGATGTATTAGCTAGCTAACTATTATCAGATAATGAATCTAATAAACAGGGCCTAAATGTTGAAACAAATTAGAAGTCAACACCGCAAACTTTTGCAACCACAAGCGACACCTGTTAATTTGCAGAGGAAGCAAAGTGGATCGATCGGATCGGAGCTGTGTATACGCGCCAATACGTGTATTCAACGTCACCCTTATAGACTGGCATTGCTGCATCTCTCTGGATCACACATGCGGCTAGCCTGCGGGCTGCGGCTAAACCATGAACGACACAAGCATGCCGGTAGTAGGAAGGAATCTCCTCGGCGTGGTGGTGCCTATGCTTCTCTGCTTCTCCTTGGGTTTTGTCGTGGGCATCACCTGCAACGCCAAGTTCCCAAATTTCTACCTCCCTTTCGTGCCGCCATTGCCCTCTGCGAGGATGTGGTCACCATCACCACCTCCATTGTTGCCGCCGCCTGTGCCATCGTCACCACCACCACCGGCCCTACAACCTCCGCCTCCTCCATCGCCACCTCCACCTACACCTTCAACGACATCAGTACAAAGCCCTAAGGTGGAACTGATGATTGGCTCTCTTAGCAGTGTCAAGAGCAACAACATGACCGACGAGGAGCTGCTCTGGTGGGCGTCCATGTCGCCCAAGGTCCGCGCCACGCCGTACCACCGCGTGCCAAAGGTTGCCTTCTTGTTCCTGGCAAGGGGTGACCTGCCGCTGCGGCCATTGTGGGAGAAGTTCTTCCAGGGGCACGACGGCCTCTACTCCATCTACGTGCACGCGGATCCGTCCTACACCGGCTCGCCGCCGGAGGACTCCATGTTCTACGATCGTATGATCCGAAGCCAGGTATGTAAAATGTAATAATCACATATAGATACTAGAAACGTATGTAAAAGGTTGCAGCACTGCCGCTGACAAAGTAAAGAATTTGGCCACTGCAGAATACGTCCTGGGGAGACGTGACCCTGGTGGACGCCGCGCGCCGGCTGGTGGCGAACGCTCTGCTGGACCTCGGCAACCAGCGGTTCGCGCTGCTCTCGGAGTCGTGCATCCCCCTCTACAACTTCACCACCGTGTACGCGCTGCTCACCGGCTCCAACACCAGCTTCGTGGACAGCTTCGTCAACCACGACAGCGAGGTGCGGTACGACCCTTTCTTCGGCCAGCGCGCCGCCGGCGGCAACATCACGCTCGCGCAGTGGCGCAAGGGCGCGCAGTGGTTCGAGATGGACCGGGCGCTCGCGGTCGAGCTCGTTTCCGACGACACCTACTTCCCGGCGTTCCGCGAGTACTGCGCGCGCAACAGGTACTGCTTCGCGGAAGAGCACTACCTGCCGACGCTGCTGAGCGTGCTCGGGTGGACGCGCAACGCCAACCGGACGCTCACGTACGCGGACTGGAGGGGAGGCGGCTCTCACCCGCGCACGCACGGGGCAGGGGACGCCACGGAGGCGCTGATCAGGGAGATCAGAGCGAGCGCCGCCGGCGGCGGCTTCGGCCCAGGCGGCGAAAACAACTGCACCGCCTACAATGACGGAGCGAGCGGCGTCTGCTACGTGTTCGCGCGCAAGTTCGCGCCCGACACGCTCGAGCCGCTGCTCCGCTTGGCACCAATGGTTATGGGGTTTGGGTGATAGGTTTCATTTTCAATACTACTACATACTTGTTACATACCGGTGTCTGTATAAATTCAGTGCTCTCACTAGCATTTTAGCCAGCAACCTGTATGTCTTGATTGTAATTTGCTCTGCGTTTGCATCATTACCCGCAGAGATCAGATCCTCCATAGTGCTTTGGTTGTTCTAACTTGCATGACTTTAAGCCACCCCTTTTTTCGCGAACATACGCAGGAGCGCAAGTGTTTCATTAAGAGGAATGGAATGTTACAAACACAGCTACACCACAGCTGAAATCCATGAGTAGCCCAGTATTGCAAGGTGCAAACCGGAGCATACCATAGACCAGCACCGAATATTTCAATGTTACCTTGTACTGAGCTTGAGTAACACTTTGGTGTTTGTAAGTTTAGACTGTTACTTTCAGTTTCCAATGTTAGTGCTAGCTCTCCATAGTCCATGCTTCCTTTTGCGAATTTACATTTAGAAAACAGGTGCCTCTTTCAGCAGATCTGAAACACATGGGAGAACGAGTACCAATATCCAGTCCACCATTTTGCTAATTTGCTTCTTCATTGGTAGACTATTATGGGCTATTCCCTACACAAAGGTTTTTACTTTAGCACAGTACTGTCCAGATTTCCATAATGAAAGAATTGAAGTTCCTATTTGCTGTACAATGAACAGTGATGCCTGAACTTGTGGTCGCACGGTCAATTTCAGAGATCTGCGCATATATACCTTATATAGTGATTTGGTAGCGAAACTTGCTTGTTTGAATTCTTTACTGCGATCATAGATTTATCCTGCTTATGCACATAACCCACGTACGCATCCCTACCCTGCAGATCCAAGTGGAAACTCTTTCAAATTAACAATTCGTTTGGCTCGTAGGAGTGTATGCAATGCATCTGAAATTCTGAATGCTATAGCTGTTTGCCCGCGGACCACATATATAGATGTAAATGTATCGAGCAGACAAGAGCAAAAATCTATCTATATTTGTAGTATATATATACTCGTCATGGGAAGAGTTTTTCTTCTACTATAATACAAGTAATCAAGGTCCCAAGTTCTTTTTTTTTTCAAGATCATGCTTTAGCACGTTTTTCATTAAACAGGATAAAGGGTTTTTGTCACACTAAGTGTCAAGTTACGGAAATCCAAAGATTACCCAAACCCACACCTTTCACCCTCACCAAACTTGCACGTGGTTGTAATTACACAATAAACATGACTACTGAGCGACAGTGGTGCTGGCGACGAAGGGGCTAGTTGGCCACCTCGTCCAACCCGACCATATCCAAGTTCATAGCCACTGGGTCGAACTCCCCACCAAAAAGAAGTTGCAGCACCTCCTGGGTGGAGTCTGATAGCGGCGCCCTGAAGGTAGCCTTGTACTTGCGCACCGTCTCGGAGTCGACATTGGGCGATGGTGCCACCATTCCCGGTTTCTGCATGAGAACACACTGAGCCTGCTTGGTGGAGTCTGCCTCGCGCGGCTTGGCAGCAATGCGGTCACAGCGCCGCAGCAACGTAACGGGGGCCGGCGTTCGAGGCCTGCGCAACCTCGGCGGCCCACGGATGAGGGGTGTCTGCAAAGGAAGGCAGAGCCGCTCCTCCAAACTCTCCTGAATCGACATCGTGGCCGGTGCTTGAGGCACTCAGCCATCAACAGTCGGTATGGCTGAACCGCCTCCGTCTGCATCTTCCCGGTTGCTGGGGGAGTCGAACTGGACCGGGGGTGGGGATCCCCCAGCCTGCTCTGTCTCCAGGAGTGATGGCCTTGGTGAGGTTTGGCCCAAACCACACTCATCCGGGCCTGAAAGGCACAGGTCCACCGCCAAGGCCACCTCCGACACGGCCTGGCTCGTGAGACCTGCCTCCACCTCAACTAGCATGGGATCGAAGTCCCAAAGCTGAATCGTTTGTATCAAGAGTGGTTGTCCTGCTGGCACTCACGTGCAACGGGGCCTCCGAATCCTTGCAGCCAGCCGGATCCTGTAGCTCCTCCTGCAACAAGACCAACACGGAGGCAATATCGAAATCTTGTGGACGCTGCATATGCACTGGATTGCAAATGTCACTTCTAAGACCATCAACAAAGCGCATAGCAAAGAACACTGGATCAGTGGAACGACCGTAAGCAACTAACTGATCAATCAAGCTAGCGAAGCAGTCAATGTAATCCTGAACAGAAGAGGTTTGGCGGATGTTGAACATTTGCCTAACCAAAGCTTCATACTGAGCCTTCCCAAACCTATTCAAAACCAACTGACAAAAATCCTTCCAAGGCAGCCTCATAACCCGTGGATCCAGGGACTGCAACCAACGGGCCCGCGGCAGATGAATTGACGAAATTCATTGTCGCGCACTTGATCCACACCTCAGGTTCTACCGAATACAGATCAAAAATAGTCCTCACACCAAGTGATCCAGAGCTTGGGATTTTCCCCATCAAATTTTGGAAAATTCATTTTGGGAATTTTGTTGCCAGTGTGGTTAATCTCCCAAGGCGGCCGTGGATCATGGTGACCGCGACCCCCATGCCAGTACGTCACCGCGATCACCGCTGGTACCCCCCAATCCCGCTGTCACTAGAGCTAAACTAGAAAAGGATCGATGCAATTTGGGTTGGGGAATGGGGTGGGGATGCAACTGCGTACCCTTGACTGGGGATTTGGGTTCGAAACCCATTCCCTGGTGACTTGATTCGACGCCGTGCCCAACTGGTCTGATGACGGACCCGCCGGCCGTTGCTGGCGCAGGGAACGCGAGCGGTGGCGGCAGGACTCCCGTCGGTGAAGCTGTAGTCGACTCGAGCATGGTGCGGCTGACGGTCTTGCGAAGCGCCGTCATCTCGGACTAGATCCACTCCACCGACTCGTCGGTCTTGCGAAACGCGTCGATCTCCGCGCGGAACTCCTCCATCGATGCGTCAACCTTGGGCTTCCAAGTGTCGAACACCTGGACGGCATGCTCGATCTTGTCGAAGCGTCCCGTGATGGTTTGCTCGACGGAGTTGATGCGGGAGGACAGCCTGGAGTCGATGTTGGCGATCGACGTCTACACGACCTTGATCTCGTCCAGCAGCATCTTGAAGTTGGGATCCATGGCGCTGAGCTCTTTCCGAAATCGGGTGAAGTAATCGTGGGAAATTTCGTGGGGTTCCAGTGTGGACAGCTCACTACGCCACCGCCAATCACACCGACCTCGGATCGGACCTACGGGATATCGACGACCAACACCGAAGCGTAGACGAAGATCGAACTGCCGACAGGGATTACGGTGCCGTATCGAAGCGGTGGAGAGGAGGAAGATAGGGGAAGACCCACGGAATCGAAGGCTCTGAGGACCACTTTGTTAGCAGCAGAGGGGCTGGGAAGCAGACGAATCAGGAGCAAGGCAAGAAGAACAGCAATAGCGCGAGGAACTGATGAGTTCTTAGTAGGGAACAAGTTTGTTACAAGGTTCTTTCATAACCCCATCAGCAAGAAGCTGGTCGATACATATAGAACTCAACTCGGCTACGCTACCGTCTTCTTCACTTGCTCTGCCACGCCGGGCTGAAGTAGCGCGGCTTCTGCTTCATGGGCCTCCTGGCACGCACGTTCTCCTGTAGTCCATCTGGCAATAGCCCTTCTGCCGGTTTTGCGTCAGGCGAAGTTGCAGTGGAGCCTGGCGTGGGTTCATCTTCATCGTCAACAGCAGAGTCGCTGACATGCCGCCTGCTGCGGGCCAAGGCGACGCTGCATGGGCACTCGCGCGGCCTGCGGCGACGGTGTCCCACGGCCAACAGGCGCACTGGTCCTACGCCGATGACGCCGCTTCCCCTTGCAGGCACCGGGTGAGTTCCCTTCACGGCGGCTACACGCTGCGCCGCGTTCAGAGTCCCCGCTGGCGTCGGAGGCGTGGCCCGGAGAGCCTTGCGAGCGGCGTCCAGGTACGACGGCGTGTGGCAGCATGAGTGGGCTCGTCGTCGGAGCTGCCCACGCCGAGGTCAGCGTCTGCCCAGCGACTAGCCTTGGAGCGCCCCACCGAGCTGCCTCCAGGATGGAAGGGGGCAGCGTGGGGGAGAGGGATTTTGACGGCCTCGGAGAACGGCCACTTGTCGGCCGCAGTGACGATGGCGACGCGGTCAGCGGCGGCGGCGCCCACGCCGCGTGCACGTCGTGGAGGAGGTTGGCGGCGGTCGCGGAGGTCCCAAGTTCTTCAATGACACACCTGAAAATTGATGAAACAAAGAAAGAGTCCAACCATGATTCTCTGCCGGTTAAAGGACTACGGCATGTTCCACAGTGGACAACTCGATTCACAGGACTATGGCATTTGCGATTTCGAATACTATTCATGAGTAAATTAAATACTGTAATTTGCTTGTTTTTCACTTTGTTTTGGGTACTGTGACCTGTTTTATTTTGAGATTGGAAGACCTTCTATTAACCAAAGGCCGCTCTTTGCCAGCGGCTAGTAAAGTGATGAATACATCATCAAGAGATATCACATACCAGACAGGCAAAGCTTCGCTGGCGAGCTGTCTTGTTGCATGGCTGCAAGTTTGCAATCCAAAAGAACACGGTGGCCTAGGCATAAAAGATATGGGCACGCAAAATATATGCTTACTGCTGAAACTCATCCGCAAGCTTCATTGTCCTCAATCTTCGGCATGGGCTCAGTGGGTACAAGGCCGAGCTTGTATCTCTTCACTCAAGGGTGACATTTACGGTGATCACTGGGAGGTCCTGCGATCCTTGCTGCCACTATATATCAGGCGATTACCTCTGTGCAGCTTGGTGACGGGGAGTCCTGCTCCTTCTGGCTGGACGTTTGGCGCGGGGACAAAGCACTAGCTGACATTTATCCGGCGATATTCAGCCACTGCACGAAGAAAGACATCACTGTGCGTGAACCCATGCAGTCCGGACTGCAACAAACCCTTGTGCCGAGGCTGTCTCCAAGGGCTCTGCAGGAACTGCAAGATGTTGAAGGAATCATAGCGGACACTCAGCTGCTTGATGAGCCTGAACATGGAACCTCGCCATTCAGCAAGGGGCCTTCGGGTTTGGACAGTGGAGCAGTCTATCAGCTACTCAAAGCACGCGGCCAACCGAACGATGACAGATCGGCTTTTGTGTGGCAGAATGCAGCCCCTCCGCGCGTCCAAATGTCCATGTGGCTACTGGTGCAGCGACGTACTCAGTGCCGTACGGTGCTACAGCGCAAACATGTTCTACAAAATTGCACCTGCGAGATCTGTCATGAAGAAGATGAGACCCCAGAACACATAATCAGTGGCTGCATACTCGGTAAGCATTTCTGGGAGAGGTTAAACATGCCATCGATGCTTGGAAAAAATACGGGCAGCCTACATACATTGGCGCCTCCAAGAGGGGTGCCCAGGGAAGAGTTTGCAGCCTTCATTGCCCTGCCGTGCTAGTAACTCTGGAAGGCAAGGAATGCAGCGGTTTTCAGAGATGAAAGGCAAAACATTTCACAAGTTTTTGCAGCTTCCAAAGCAGCTGCTGAGCAATGGCGCTTCAGGTTCCCCAAAAAAAAGAAACAAATTGTGGATCAACGGTGTCAGGTTTTTGAATTGGCAAGACAAGGGTAGAAATGTAGTAATTTTATCTAGACTAGGTAGCGTGCCCGTGCGTTGCTATGGGACAGTAAAACTTTTATACTAAAAACATAAGGATCACACGATAAAATAACAATACTGTGAAGATATTAAAGTGACATTTAATCCAAAAAGCAAAATTCATGAAATTAACATCGTCACGGAGTGCGCGGCGTCGTAGGCTCACCGACTCGGTAAGGGCCGAGCGACAACCTTGCACATACCTATAACAATCCAAAACTTAATGCATTAACCATGAATTTACGAGTAATCAAGTATGTTTTAGAGAAAGAAGAATCGATGTGGTAAAGATAGAAAAGGATAAATAGATCAACAGAACTATCAGAATTGTCATGAACTCTTTAAGGTTTTTTCTAAGCAGCTAGTTCTCAGTTTACTATACAATGTCAAATGATTTGTGCATCCATCGGATAGCAATCTGAACACTAATAGACTTCGATCACATTAGAGAAGTTGCCGATGACGGACCTTAATCTTTGTCCAAGAAAATACAAAAGATATGCCCTATAGCAATCGTCACCTATGTGGCCGGTGTACAGTAGTCACCGATGGTACTTCTCCTTATCCTTGGTCGCTCTTGGAGGCTGCAACTTCACGTCACCATTGAAATTGTAACATTCAACATTCAAGAAGAGAAACACTACTGCAACATTTAAGTGGGGTATCATCATGCTGCAAAAAATCATTGAATCACAAGAAATCTGATAGAGCAGGGGAAGCTTGCACGGGTCAGACGAGAAGAGAAGCACTGGGCGTGATGGGCTATTATGTGGGCTGAGCATGCCAGAGTTGTAGTTGCTGCTTGCCCGACTGGAGCCACGAAAGGGGGAGCCGCCCCTGTGATGCCGATGGAGAGGGGAAGGTTGAAGTAGCTAGATCAGGGGGCCGCACCGCCGCTAGGGGCTGCCGAGCACGCGGGTTTGGCCAGGCTGTCGCCGGGGGCCGCGGAGCTCGATGGACTAGCCGCACCTTGTCGAGCTAGGGAGGAGGAAAGGGCGTACCTTG